GAACAGAAACTTCGTATGAATGAGAATGAAAAAAATTACATATATTGATCTCATGACATAGCATACTGATAGCGCGCGTCCTGCCTAGTTAGAAAAAATAATCAAATTGAAAAATTTCCATCTGGATAACGTGAAAACGGTTAAGATGATTTTGCTCAGTCCACCCAAAAAAAAAGTCGGTCTGGATCAGCCTGAAAAATAGACCTGAATCAAGTTGGACAGAATCATGCAGGGAATCGACTTGTGTCATGTCGAACTAACGGCATGAATCAAATGGGGCTCGGACAGATGCAAACCGCAATATCAGTCTGATTCAAATTTCATTAATTTAGGTCGACTTGATTCAAGTGGATGTTTCGATTAGATTCAGATCAATTTTTCGGTTTGATTCAAGCCGATTTTTCTCTAAATTCTCGATGTACACTGTCGAAGAGGTGCCTTTGTGAGCCTCATATATAGGGCAGGGGGGGTTCTACATCGAGAATTCAGTACACCTCCCCTCCCTTAGACGACTTACTTCGTCAGTGAGTTTTTCAAGGATATCTTTGAAAATAAGGGTGATAAAAAATTGAGCCGGGAAGGACGGTTCTCAATTTTTTTGGTTATAATTTTTAGGTGCACTGATCGTATAAATAATCAAATACCATTGTTATTCGCAGTGAAAGTGTTGAATTTTAGGAGAAAACTTATTTTTTAATTATTTTCACACGTGCTACGAGAATAACATATGAACCTATGAGACGATCATCTTCATGAACTAATCAGTTTCAAGTTACATTAACACGCATCGATTAAAAAAAAATCAAATTGCATCATTACTTTAGAAGAAATAGTGGAATATGTGGGAAAAACATCATTTTTGGCGTGTTTTCACATGTTATTTACGAATTAATGAAGAACCGCTGCGGCGATCGTCTTCATAAACTATTCAGTTCTAAGTTACATGAAGACACATCGATTGAAAAAAAATTTAATCAAATCGCTTCATTTGTCCGTAGATATCGTTGGACAAAATTTTGACCACATACATACATACATACTACACACACACACACACACACACACACACACACCGCTGAGCTGAGGCTTGTCCTTCCCAGGGCACCTTGGTGGAGAAGTCCAACTTCTACAGCAGCACATCTCCAGGTGGCGGATAGGGGAAGTCCTAACTGGGTCAGCTTGCTGACCCAGCAGACTGGAGGGGAATAAAATAGCTTCCGCGGACCAAAAGAGGCGTGCAGGGTGGGCTCCCTATACCAGCCTAGAACAAAGGGTGGGCTCCCTTCAACAGTCCGGAGAAAAAATGATGAGTGATGAGAAAATACAAAGTTCCCATGCGAGTACCTCTGAGAAGGAAAATACCGCCATCAGTTCCGATCAAGTGAAAGCCTCGGTGGCTGATGCCGGCTCCATGGATTGTGGGAGGAGCCAATCATCACTTTCTTCCAAGATGGACCACTTTGCCTCAAATGCTACACGTGGGGTAGAGTCACAGACTCATCAGGAGACCAAGTGCTCTTTAGCATACGCACGGCTGGTTAAGCTCATCGCAGATGTACATGAGTTTATCCAAACTAAGTTGAATGTCCACAAGGAAATTAAATCTAAGGTGGCTTTAATTGGCAACACTTTTAAAAGGCTCAAGGGACTGGAGACAGCACGCACTCGAATTCAGTGCGCTGTCGATGGCCCGGTTCCTCAGTTACTAGCGCCACCACTACTGCGCTTACGAACGGACTTCGAAACAACAGTGAAGGATTCGGAGATAGAGGACTCGGGAGATGCCTCGCAGCGTGTCCAAAATGCTCGAGACATCCGTAAGGCACAACGCAGGAAGCGTTCGAAGGGTTCCCCAGAGACGGAAGCTCAAAAATCGAAGAAGCTGAAAGAGCAAGAGTTAGCTAACAAGCTAGTTCCAGCGGTAAAGCTTGGTGACCCACCGGTTTGGGTACAGGTAAAAACCAAGAAGGGGGGAAGAAGGGAGAGACTCCTAGCAGAGCAGCCTCAGAAGCCGCACGTCACGAAGAAGAAAGAAAAAGGAAAGAAGCCACCCCGAAAACCAGCGCTCAGACCTGATGCGTTGATTATCCGTTCAAAGGAAAAGGGCAAGTACTCGGAGATTCTCACCCGAGTTAAGCGGGACGTCCCCACAGACCAGGCCCGTGTATGCGTCGACAAAATTCGCAGGACAACTACCGGTGATATGCTCATCATAATGAGCAGGAAGTCAGCCGACGGAGGAGCCCCTCAGCTACACAAAACCATTGCCGATCTTCTCGGGGATGAGGCCAAGGTAGTCAGTAAAGTGCCACATGCAGATCTCGAGATTAAAGACCTCGACGAAACTACGACGAAGGAGGATCTCCTTGAAGCTCTGAAAGCAGCAGCGGAAGAGGAACACAAAATTAGTCTAGATACCATCAAGTCCTTGCGTGAGGCATATGGAGGAACTCAAACTGCCTCAGTGACGCTCGCGGAAACTACAGCGGAAAAGATCCTGGGAGAGCACGAGAAAATCAAGATAGGCTGGGTAAATTGCCGTATTAGAAGAGTCGAGAGACCAGTGAAGTGATTCAAGTGCTGGCACTATGGACATCTCGCCACTAGATGTAGAAGCGAAGTAGATCAGTCCAAACTAAATGCTCTAAATGCTCAGAAACAGGCCACAAAGCTACGGACTGCAAAAAGAAGTCTCGATGCGCCCTGTGTGGTGAGAAAGGTAACATGGAGAAGTATTCCCACATCGCTGGTAGCGACAGATGTCCAGTGTATAAGGAGGCACTCCAGAAGGTACTCAATAAGCGACGATGAAGGTACTCCAACTCAACTTCAATCATTGTGAGGACGCACATGACCTGCTTATGCAGACGGCGCGGGAGTTGAAGCTCGATCTCGTTATCATCTCAGAGCCGTATCGTCACCTGGGCGCTCAACCCTGGGTCACTGATGCTAGCACAAAGGCTGTAATCTGGGCTTGTGGCAAGCGGCCATTTCAAACCACCAGTAATGGTACAGAAAATGGCATTGTGAAGGCTAAAGTTGATGGAATTCATTTCTACAGCTGTTACGCCCCGCCGAGCCTTTCCAGCGAGGAATTCAGGGACTTCCTAGATCGACTGACTGAGGATGCGAAGCAGCACTTTTCTGTGGCAATTGCCGGGGACTTCAATGCTTGGGCAGTCGACTGGAGAATTAAAGAGACGAACACCAAGGGGCAAGCTGTAGTGGAAGCCATGTCATCGTCTTGCTGAACGGCGCAGTCCTGTTGAACGGCGGCGATGAACCAACCTTCACGAGGGCAGAGGCGAGCTCAATAGTGGATCTGACCTTCGTGAGCAGCAGCCTTGCAAAGGGAAACTGTTCATGGAGAATAGCTGACATCTACACCGCAAGTGACCACCGTGCGATAGTCTGAGAAACATGTTCTCGCAAGAGAGTCACCTCAACGATTAAGAAGACAAATTGCATTGGCTGGAGAGTGAACACCTTCGAGCCTAGCTCTTTTTCAGCAGCATTAGACGACCACCCAATTAGTGGCAGCAATGCTACTGAGAAGGCACGGAACGTCATTAAACGAGTAAAAGAAGCATGTGATGCCACCATGACCAGGAAGCGGACCACAAACGCGCATCCACCGGTCTACTGGTGGAATAACACCATCGTCACCCTGCGGAAGGAGTGTAATGCTGCTAGAAGATCATTTCAACGTGGCTGTAAAAATCCGAACTTCGAGAAGCTACATATGAGGTATAAGAAGGCACGCCAGAAGTTCATCAAAGCTATCAAGTACAGTAAAAAGTCATCTTGGAGTGAGCTTCTTGATGAGGTGGAAGGTGATCCATGGGGTAGACCTTATAAAGTGGTGATGACGATGCTTAAGAGTCAACCAATGCCGTCGCCTATGTGTCCCGTGTTGATGAAAAAACTCGTCACGGTATTGTTCCCGCAATAACCAGAATTTCATCATTTTGGCGAACAGGAAGAAGATACAATGCTGTTACCAGTCACTAAAGAAGAGTTAATGGAAGCCTGCAATAGGGTGGGTAACACCAAGTCCCCTGGTCTGGATGGAATCCCCAACATCGCCCTAAAGTCAGCTATCCATGCGATGCCGGAGATATTTTTGGACGTATACAACGAGTGCCTAGGGGAGGGCACCTTCCCTGGCATGTGGAAGCAGCATAGATTGGTACTACTCCCGAAAGGGAAAAAATCACCTGACGACCCGTCATCATACCGTCCGCTCTGCATGCTCGATACCGCTGGCACGATCCTCGAGCATATTGTCCATCAACGGATAGAAACAGCAGTTGAACCCTTGTTGGCGGATAACCAATATGGGTTCCGGAAAGGCCGGTCTACTCTGGATGCGATCGGCCTGGTCGTCGACATCGCCAAGAACGCGATCTCAGAAAAAAGATGGCTAAATGGCACGCAGAAGTATTGCCTAGTAGCGACACTAGACATCAAGAATGCTTTCAACTCGGCCAGGTGGGACCGTATAATGGAAGCTCTCACGAAATTCAATGTACCGGAATACTTGCGGAAAATGATCGGTAACTATTTCACTGGAAGAATTTTGAAGTACGACACGGAGGATGGTCCTGAGGAGTATAGAGTCACCGTAAGTGTACCTCAAGGCTCGGTATTGGGTCCCTTGTTGTGGAACATCATGTATGATGGGCTACTGAAGCTGGAACTACCACGGGAAACTAAACTCGTGGCATTTGCAGATGATGCAGTCGTAGTCATCGTGGGCAAATACCTGGAGGAGATCAACTTCATCTTCGACATGACGTTCGAGACAATCCGCCGCTGGATGGACTCAGTAGGCCTGGAGCTGGCGGAGCATAAGACGTAGGCCGTGCTGATCACTAGCAGGAAGAAAATCGAGACTATCACGCTGCAAGTCGGCTCTTGTGAAATTACTTCCTAACCGTTCATCCGAGACTTCGAGGTGATGATCGATGCCCGACTCAACTTCAAGCAGCAAGAGAAACATGTCGGTACCATGGCGTCTGGAATCAGATCCACGTTCTCACGACTCATGCCCAACATCGGAGGTCCCAAGCAAAGAAGACGCGCTGCTGTCTTCAGTGGTTACGTCAGTGCTCACGTATGGCATTCCCATCTCGGCTGACGTACTCCAGTTGCAAGAAACACGGCGTAGGATCGCACCAGTCTATCGGCTGAGTGCCCTCAGAGTCGCGAGTGCACACCGAACGGTATCTGAGGATGCAGTGTGTGTCATCGCAGGAATGTTACCGATAGAGATACTAGCTGAGAAGCGAAAATTCCTGTACCAGCGGAAGAGATCAAAAACGTTGAGCCCCGAAGAATTGGCAACAGAAGAGAGGCGAAATAGCTTGAGGCCATGGCAACTGAAGTGGGATAATTCTACGAAAGCGAGATGAATTCATCGTCTGATTCCGAATGTGGATGTCTGGTCGGATCGTGATCATGGAGAGGTCAACTAGTATCTCACACAGATGCCGTCGGGACATGGGTGCTTCCGGGCTTATCTTCATAAACACAGACATAAGGATGCCCGACGTGCACAGGAGTACATGAGGACGCGAAGCACGTTTTTTCACATGCCCACGCTTCAGCGAGTTACGGAATACCTGGGAATCCACACTTGAGAGGCAGGTCTTTCCTGAGAACTTCATGGAAATTCTGCTGTTATCACAGGCGGCGTGGACCCAACGAGTAACTTCGCAGCCGAAGTCATGAAGAAGCTCAGAAATGAGGAACGCAAACGCAAGGCTGCGGCATAGGTGAGAAATCGATTGGAACCTTCTCCCCGCATCTATCATCTCCGCGGGACAGGTGGACGTACATTAGATGCAAACAGCGTGGAAGAGCAAATAGCTGAGACCTCCCTCGCTTAGTAATACTTAACGGTGGTGCCGCGAGGGGATTAAAAGGTTAGTGAATTTGTCTGATTGGAGTTTAGTCGGTATTGATCCTTGTGATCTGAGCCCGACATACAGTGGTCGGAGAAAATCCCTGGGATTCTCTCCCGCAAGTGAGGATGCGTAAATGCCTCTTCCTAACAGACATAAAAAAATACACACACACACACACGCACACACACACACGCAAAAATGTGTCAGGATAATTCTAGAGGTCATAAAGCGTCGACAAATCATGAAAATTCCAATTTTGATTTTCGGAGTAATTACAATAACTTCCTCCGTTGGGTCGGGAAGTTAAAAATGTTTCATTCAGAAGTTCTTTGACTAACAAAGGCGAATAATTTCCATTCTCAATAATTTTCTTTACAAGAACCGGTAATTTTTTAAAGAAGACTTTTTATGCTAGGGTAGGAGCATTTATCAATATGCATGGAATGGACAAAAAAATCAAGAATGATTAAAAATTACCTTCCACGTCCTCGTTGTGATACTCTTCAATGGTGCAAATATTGGCGGATGATAGGAGACAATGAGGTCAGTTTTAAGGTCAATCGCCTCCTTCATGACTCTTTCGGTCAAATCATTGGTGACAAGAATGTGGGAGACATTTTTTGATTCAGTTGGTTCAATCAAGAGTCCAACGTTGTCCCACGACTCAGCCAGTGATACGTCAGCAAAATTATTCATCGTCTCTACTACTTTATTCAGAGGAATGCCCTTATTTCCGTTCGAGGACATGTTTCTCAGATTGAGGTGAACTGTTGAGATCAGGGGTTTGGGAATTATTCGAAAAAACATCTAGGGGCAAACCTGAAATCGCAGCGGAATTAGTTTTGAGAAACATTTCTTCAAGTGTGAAACGTTCACAATTTTTTAGGATGATTCTGTTAGCCATTCGGATTGCCAATTTCCGATTTTTGAAGGTGTCAGATCTGATGCCTTGATGGCAATCCCAATTTGTGTTTCAAAATTTTTTTCTATACGTTCTTAAAAAATTGAGCAAAAAAATCAGTATCGGATGAGATTTTAATAAGGAGACGGGGAGGGACAGAATGTGTCATTGAAAAATATCAAAAAGTGTACAAACGTACGGACTTATAGGCCTTTCAGTAGAACCTTTTCCTTCGTTTCCAAGAGTGAGAGACACGGATACAAGTGGAAATCACGTAGAGAGGGGGTGAAGGAAAAACCCATACTGGAAGGGAAAACACATACCCACCGAAGGAAAAACTTATACTGGAAAACCTATATTTGGTTTTTTCCGTTTGCTTCCGAATGGAAACTTTGTAATCGTTCAAATATAAGCTTTATATTTTTTGTGTTATATCAACCCATTATGATCCAAAAAGTCTGAAAATACAATTTTTAGTCTCTGCCCGTATGCGTGTGTTGTGATCGGAAATTATTTATCTAAAACTAGGACCTAAAAAGAGGATTAAGGTAATTCAGTGAAAGTGACAATAAGGGATGATTTTACTAGAATTAATATATATAACTCGATATCCGGCTTGAAGACAATTCCAATATCCTTGACTGCCTTTTATTATTGAATCAGGGACGGGATATAGCCAGGTTACTTTTGTACGCACGAAAAGGATGAATGTAATATGGCAATAAAGCAGAGAAGTGAAATAATGTGTGCACGGAGAGAAAAATTCGATAAAAATCCCTTTAAAAAAAACATGTAACGTTTTTTGTCATCGTTTTTCACGGCATAGCTTAGCTTATCATATGAAGGACATCATTAAATAATATATGAAAATAAAAATAGAAAATAGAAACAGAATTTAATAAATATATACAATATACAGGGCGTCGTCAGCACCTTGTTTACACATTTTAGGCAAATATAGAGTAAAAAATCGGGAATTCAATGGTACAAAAATTAGTAAATTCCGATAATAGATTTTCAAATGGTGAACATTAGAATTTTTCAATACTTCAGCCAATTACATTGCGATTAATTACCGCCATGATTGGGAACGATGACGCAGTTACCAATGGGACTTGATATGATAGTTAATATCGCTCTTCATATTGATAAAATTATCGGTTCATGGCTGCAATGAACATTGCTCACCTGTCGCACATAATGGTGTTCCAACTATCGCGCATAATGTCGCTGAAATCATCGCAGTAAATACCGCCATAATTGTCGTAGCATCGCCATTTTTAATCATGACAGCATGGCGGGAGTCTACCCCGGTGTTATTGGCAGAATCATTGAAAAAGTCCAACGTTCACGATTCAAAAATTTATTATCGTAATTTTATAATTCTTATGCTATTGAATTACTGATTTTCTATTCCATATTTCCTCACAATTTGTAAACAAGGTGCTGACGTCACCCTGTATAAAGGCTGTATCTTTATTGGTAGAAAACCTCCCATCCCCCAACGTAAAATGACCTTCTAAATACAGCAAAAATTCATAACAAGCAGGGGTTCGAGACTTTTTGGCTTTTTGATATCTGTATGTATTATAACTGTGTTTCTTTTTTTCCTTTCTACCAATTTCGTTGGTAGTAAGCTTCCGAATGAATCTACACCAATTCTTTAAAAAAACAAGGATTTTAATGAAAAGACAAACAAGTGAGCAATTGCTTTCAATTGTGTCAATTATGGTGCCTATTTTTGCTAATGAATTAGCAATATGCTTCCGAACGGATATTACCTTTTCATTGCACTTTGCCATTAACTGATGATATACGTCCCCATAAGACCCTCATTACCCTTATCATCCTTATCACTCCTATGACCCCCATAATACTCTCATAAAATCCTCATATTTAGGCGTCGCTGAAAGGTCAGGGGACGCTACCCATAGCAATCTCCCTAGCAACCTCCCATAACAACCCCCCCCCCTAGCAACCTCCCCTTGAAATCCTCCCTAGCAACCCCCCCCATAAGATCCTAGTAAAACCCCATAAGACCCCCATAAAACTCCCATAAGACTCCCATAAGACCCCCATAAGGGCCTACCTTGCCCCCACCTTGTGCCAACCTTGTGCCAACATTGCGCCAACATTGCGTCAACCTTGCACCAACATTGGACCAACCTTGGGCCAAATTTTTGAGAATAATTCAAAAACTAAAAGCGCAGTCGATCCCATCTTCGAACTCGGTCTGTATAACATAAAAACGCATATTTCTAGTCCAGATTCGATTGATTCATATGATTATTTTTCAAGTTATCGTGAAAAAACTGAATCGGTCACATACACACGCACATACATACATACATACGGACAGGGTCTAAAAACATCAGATTCGGACTCCTGACCCCCAAATTAATCATCTTCACGAAGAAAACTAGAAACTTAAATTCGGAGGAATACAATGCTTCCATTCGGAAGCAAAAAAGGGGAATATCTTGAACACTTTTTATGGACGGGTATATATGTTTTAATTGATCTAGGTAGAGGACATCAAGACGAATATTTTGAAAAAAAAGTGGACTCGATTGCGAAGTTTTAAAGATATTCAATATAATAGATTTTCAGAAAAAGTTGAATATCTCCGAAACTAATAGTGTGATTGAGGTTCTTCAATAAGAACCTTTGTTATCACGACAGGAAGATTGTGTCCAGATTTTAAGTTGATATCTCAATTTTTGCACACGTTAGCGCGCGTACAAGGATTTTAATGAAAAAACAGAAAAGGGGAAATATCTCAAAAACTTTGTATGGACGGGTATATATGTTTTTGTTGATATAGGTAGAGGATATCGAGACGAATATTTTGAAAGAAAAAAAATCTAAATCAGTCTAATAATTTTAAAGATATTCGTGAAAAACGATTTAAAAACGAATCGCATTATGTCAAAAACTTCTTGACCGATCGGGCTGAAATTGTGCACAGAGTTAGTCCTCATCAGACCTGTAATGTGACAAAATTTCTTAATTTTCCAAAAATTGATCATCGGGAAGGTGGCGGTGGACATATTCGCATACAGACATGGTCGCCAAACTTCGTATTTTTACGTTTCAGACCATTCTACATCATTTCCAATAAAAATTAGAGAATGTGAACATCAGACCATTACAAAGCTTCCATTCGGAAGCAAAAAAAAATTTATTTAGCCGATTTTTGTATAATTAATAATTAATGTGGGCCAATAAGAGGGTCGGGTTATGGCGCGCAGTAGTGAGTGGGGGAGTTCGAAGAATGAACGGCAATACTGCGTTAGAGTCACGCTGGAAGAAGTGTGGGAACTGTTGAGTCGCTGTTCTCTCGTCGATTTCGGGTGAAGGCGGACATGATGAAGTGAGCTGCGAGATGGCGCGCGTATGCAGTTTTCGGGTTCAATTGAATTTATCTGCAAGAGAGGTAAACGGAACAAGATAATTTGTACGGGAAATCTATGGAAGTGAAATGAATTTCATTTTGAAAGGAAGAAAAAATTATGAGATTCATGAATGTAGCCGAGGGACTTCTGACATACTGTTTGAAAGTGGTTTCAATCCCATAAGGCATCGTGTCCACAAATTGCTGAGA